GGGGGAGTTGGACGGGTCATCGCTGCCAAGTAGTGTGTGAAGGCAGCTTCGAACCGCATCATAATTCATCTTGTACCTCACCGAACCAGGATTTAACATCTTCAGGGCGGCTGTGTATCAACTGTGTATTCAACACACACGTGTGTGTGTCACTCACATTCCCTGCTCCAAGTTGTGCCCTGTTGGTCCAATGCTGTGCCCCCCCCCCCAATCCTTTCAGTGCAACTACTGTTTCGTCCACCCGACTGCCACAATACAAACAGCAGTATTGGTCAGCACTGGCCAGCACTGGTGTGTTTACAGTGGGGTTTTTGTCGCGTGCGGCACGGGGCGCGGCCTGCCACGCCACATCGGCGTGGCACGTATTCGTATTCAGACTCATTCTCTCCAGTATCGTGGCGGCGATTGAGAGCGTGGCGTGTTGGGGTAGGGAGGGGTGGGGCGGCGGGTGGGTTGGGGTGGATTGGGCGAGGAACTGACTACCCCCGGCGGCACCGCCAACGACTAAATTGAAATGGTCCCGCCAGAAAATAGTCCGAAGCAGTGGCAGAGTTGCGCAGCAGCACAACCCGCTCGACAACCCGTTTTCATTCATTCGCAGTTTTTGTTTTGTGGCCGAACCACCGCAGGGCGGGAATGTTGACCCAACTCGTTGACAATATACAGCCATCGCCGCAATCAGAATGCGATGCGAAAATAATTTTTCACAGGGAAAAAAGTGGTATAGAGGGAGAAGAGGAAGAGACAGAGAGGAGGGGAAGAAAAAGAGAGAAAGACGGACAGACATACAGACTAAGATTCAGGGGAGACGGGTGAAGGGGCGGAGCAAGGGGCGGAGTAAAGCCGTTTCCGATGCCATTTTCCAGAGTCATTGTTTTTTTATTGCACCTGTGAGAATTCAATGCTCTCGTCCGTCCGCGCCTCGCTCGGCGGGGCGAGGCCGGCGGGGCCCCGGGTGGGGCTCGGCGGCACGTATGAAGCGCCCCCGATGCCCGCTCGCTCGGAAGGGACGGCGTCGACCATCAGGAGCGCCGCACAGCACGGCAATGCACCGCGAGTGCCCGGCCCGGCCCGCGGAGCTCGTGTATTCACACAGTCAAATAAATGGAGGCGCTGCCTGTCGGTTTATTCCCCTCCGCCTCCTCCTGCCGGTCTCTGTCGGTCTCTCTCTCTCTCTCTCTCTCTCTCTCTCTCTCTCTCTCTCTCTCTCTCTCCCTCCCTCCTCCTTCCTACCCGCTCCCACTCGGCCGCGCCGAGCTGCAAGCAGCTGCAAGTGCTGCACTAGGCCGATGACCGACAGCAGTAACGCACCGTCGGTGTCGGGAGGTAGTCTCGCTTCTTCATCCTAGCTTACTTGATTTTCATAACCCTCTCCACTTCTCGCTCCACTTTTAAAAAAATTATATTTGAAAATACCAAATGGCTGATTTACCCCGCGCACTTCGGTGGTTATACTTTACCGAAATATATCCGATGGAACCGTCCATTTAAGAAAGGCTCTCTGAGCTGGACCCCTCCCGACTCCTGGGTAGGCCATCCGCTCAACTCAGATGCGTTCCACGACAGTAAATTGCCTAGCTACCAGGCGTTATCTGCCCACAGATCCTTTAAAGACGGAAAGTTGCGCTTTTAAAACAACTGGAAAATCTGTTCCCGCTAATTTCACCCCCACCAAAAACAAAACATAAAAAAACCATACCAGTTGTCACCACTGTGACTGTATCTGTGTCAGCGTGTTTCCAAATTCCACTGCGGTGCGCTCATTTGCCACCGGACAAAATTAATTAGTACTAGTGAATACTGGCGCTACTGAAAGTGTGTGTATGTGTGTGTGTGTGTGTGTGTGTGTGTGTGTGTGTGTGTGTGTGTGTGTGTACGAGCGCGCGTGCGCGCGTGTGTGTGGGCGTGCGCCGCCAACCGGTTAATGCGGCTGTGGGTATGAGCCGTTGAAAGCTCTTTCACTGACTTTGGGTGGAGCCACGAGTGGACAAGACAACTCGACCTAAGTTTATACAGGGTGGTCCACAGACCCCTTCCTGTATTTTGCTTATACTGTACCGGATGACGGCGTGCGGCCGGGTTGCATACACGTGATAGCAGTTGAAAAGGTTGAGGTAGGTGGGGGTTTGGGAGAGCGGGGTTCTCTGTGCTCTGAATTATCGTATTACCAATTACCACGCGCCGTGCGCCATATTGTTGGCGGTACGATGACGCTCCTGGATATGCGCTCCTGCAATGACCCGAATAATAATAATAATGACTCTCACCCGATACGTTATTACAGGAAGGTACCACGCCGCGTCTATCGCTGTCAGGCCAAAAAAGGAACCCCATTCTTAAAATGAAATCCACCATTTGAGCGTAACTTAGAATGTGTATACTTCGACGTACGCATGCAGAAGTGGCATATCTGTGTGAAGAGGCGTGGAGGCTGGTGGTTCTGCGCCGGCCAGGCCAACACTGGCGGATCTAGGAAGAGACGGTCATCACTGGTGGATCTGCTTTTAGACTGACCTGCACAGTCAACTTTGGAGGCCTATTGCTCATCGTAGGTCGTACAGTTTTGACTGATGTCTCATATTTTAATGTTCATGTCCTCGTAATTGAATTTTGGCATCACTCAATACTTTACGACCCACTGACCTACTATGATGATACGTACTACACTACATGTATTTTTACGATCACAAATTGGAATTTTACAACTTGCGTCAAGGCAAATTTTCACTGTAAAACAAGTTTTACTGAATTTTTTGTACTTTAAGTCTGATTTTTTTTTTACAGACCAGTAGTCTACAAATTCAGACTGGACCCGGGTCTGAAATTTCAGTGGTGCCTTACCATACCACTTAGATTGAAAATTCATGAATTTTCTGCAGACAGCCGGTATAAAAATATTTTTGAAAATGTTAAACTTGAACACATACCGGAAGACATAACAGTTGTGGGGGTAGAGGGCTGTGCCCAGGTGAAGACATATCTGCCCATTTGGTACTGCCCTTGGTTGGGATCGAACCGCCAAACATCAGGTTCGGAAGCCGCTACCTTAATCATTAGGCTGCGGGCTACCTACGTAGGGAGCAGCGTCGGCTACTGGTGTCGTTCGCCCTGTCCGGTGGACTTTCCACTCAAAATTCATACCGGTAACTCTGAATTATAGATTCAGAGTAAAATGGCTAGATTTTTAGTCAAACTAAAAAATTTTGAGTAATGGTCTGAAAACAAGATTCAGAGTGCCGATTCTGAAAAACATCTGCTGAATTTTCAGGTTTTTGTTTACAGTGTTCCTGTAAATATTACTACTATTTATCACAGTGTTTGGATCGGGTGTTGACCGAAGTAGGTAACACGCCCTCTTCCGAGAAAATTACGAACTTGCTCTATTTTTCCTCGATTCGGCTGCTTAAACATATACTCTGTCCGGTCAGGCGGCTTGTGTAGTTCAGAGAACGTGCGGACAAGAAGGAGGAATCGGGCGGGTCGTTGTCAGAGACGCCTGGCACCCGGGGGATGGGTAGGAGCAGCATGTCTCGTATCTTACCCTCAAGACATGGCGAAGGGGAGGGGAGCGGATAGACATGGCACGCCCTTTGCCTTTGTACACGCTCGCTATATCAGAAGGAGCAAAAACAAAAAAAACAACAACATCTAGGCCTCCATTCCCCCTTCCCTCTCCATCCTCGTCCTCTCTCTCTGCGCACATCTGCGGCCTCTCCCTGCTCAGCCAATTGGCCCTCTTTTAACCCCCGGCCTGGCCCGGCCCCCCCGCGAGGCCACATCAGAGACTGAGGGCGGCATGGCGTGACGGTGGCTCACCGGGTGAGGGTGACGGGGGAGGGGGGGGGGCGGTGCGCGGCGCGCGCGGCCGCCACCGGGAGCTGCACGCCCCGCGCCACTCCTCCCTCCGCTCGGGACCGGGCTATGCAAACGCGGCAGGCGGCAGCAGCTCATCGGAATGTGATCTCGAATGCGGATGGGTCCCAAGCGAATTCCTTCTGATTATCGGTGGGTCTTGGGCGGGGCCGGGCCGGCGGGGGCGGGGGCGGGGGCGGGGCCCCGAAGCGCAACGCTGCTCAAGCAGGGCCATGACCGCGCAAAAAAGGGCCCAGCAGCAGGACCGGGGCCAAAACATTGACTTGCAAATATATCCGTCTAACGTCCAGTCGCATCGTGATGCGGGGCGGAGAGGGGTTTAGGGCGCAAGCGTGTGCCACGAGGCGTCGCGCCGCCACCAACCTTGCAAAAAGGGCTCAGCCGCACGGTTGAGCGGGACAGAGGCGGGCGGAAACTGAAACCAAGCCGGCGAGGTAGAGGTATGCCGTATGCCCGCACATTTCCTTTTTTTCTCCCCAACCTCGCTCTCTATTTTTCTCCCTTCGTATATTTTTTTCTTTTTCACTTTGTTATTTGACCTCTCGGTGCGAAGCGAGCTGATGGTGCCTCTCCCTTTTCTATTGCGTACTATTTCTTTTGGAGGCGATTGTGCGCGAGGGGGAAATTGGTGTGCAACGGAGGGGATGGACTCCATTGATGGGTAGCCCCCCACCCCCATCCCCCAAAAGAGAGTAAAATAAACAGATAGAAAAACGAAGGTAGCAGGGATCGGACCTACTTTGACGAATGCTCATAAATAACATGAAAAAGGGGTCGTCTTGAAATGCAGAAAGGACAAGTAAAAGTCTTTCGCTGCGGTCACCGCTGCGAGGTCATGGGTTCAAGCCCTCCCGGCTGCCCCACATTACCTCCTGCGGTGTTTGTCCTCCGGGTCGCAGAGGAGGGCGAGGGAGAGGGCCAGAGAGGGCCAGAGAGGGCACGAGCCACGACCAAGCCGGCCCACCCAAGCGTACTTGGCGAATTAGCCTCTTCTTTTCCCCTCCCCTGTTTCTTTTTTTTTACGACTTGAGTCTTGAGTCTCGTCCGTCTTACGACGCCCGAGACAAATTCTAGGAGCTAGCGCTGGCATGGGGCGAGCCGTGGCCTGGCGTAGCATAGCTGGGAACAGTGGCGCCAAGAGGGGGTCCGAGGTGCAGCAAATGCTGCACCTAAAATGGGAATAACCGGGTGTGAGTAGGAATAACCGGGTGTAAGAAGGGAGGAAGAAAAAAAGAGAGGGAAAAAGGGAGAGAAGAGAAAGAGAAGGAAAGAGAGAGGAAAGAGGAAGGAAAGGAAAGGGAGAAAGAAAGGGAGAAAGAAAGGGAAGGGAACCAGAACGAGTAGCAGGTAGTACCGGCACCGGCAAGGAATAGGGGCGAGGGTGTCCGCCAGTGGCGGACCGGCCAATGTGGGGAGGTGGGATTCCTCACCCGGGCCCCCTGCTCGCGGACATCTCGGGCCCGAAGGGCTCGAGAGAAGAGATCGAGCCACGGGCCCAAGTCCTGAGCGCGACACTGGACAGGGGCCCCGGCCTGGGCCCTAGATTCAAGCGCCATGTAATTTTTTTCGCGCTCGCTTCGCTCGCGTTTTTTATTGTTCTACAAGAGCAGTGTACATAGATCGCGTCCGACGGAATCCTGCCCACGTTTCGGTACTCGGAAGGCCTTCTTAGCGACCTCATACAATCAAAACATTTTCGCGCTCGCTCCGCTCGCGACATATTTCTACAGGCGGTATATATAGTTACAATGTCGGCACATGCTGGGAAGCATACACTTAATTGAAACGGGCCAGACATGTGCGCCTTGGTGTGCATTATTACGTATATCGTGCCCCTGGAAGGTAGGAAAAACTGGGCCCCACTTCCAGATTTCCCTTTACTGCCCAGTCCGCCACTGGTGTCCCTGCCTAAGTGGGCGAAAATATGGGGAAAAAGGGAAAATGGGGGGGGGGGGAATAACCGGGTGTGGGTGGAATAACCGGGTGTTGTGCCTCCGGCTTGCTGCACCTCGCGAAAATCGTCTTGGCGCCACTGACCGCCGCCACAGACCAGCGCCCTGTGGCGAGAGAGCGTTGATGCTCGTCGGGAAAGAGTGGTGTGAGGTAGGGTAGGTAGAAGTTCTGTAAAGTCTCTCGAGCTGGGGACGGTCTACCGGCCGCACCGCACGAGGGCGGCGGCGGCGCCAGAAGCCGGGAGTCAGCTGAGCTCTCGCGTCTCTCTCGCACTCACCGCTGCTAGCATACGTCTGTCTCTATCGCCCAAACGACCGTCGCACCACTCGCCAGCAGACTGATTCCGAAGAGCGCTCAAGGGGGGCTGCCCTATGAGTGCGACAGGGACGGAGCTAGGCGAAAGGTATAGTGTACTTCGATTAACGGAGGAAGAAGAATAGCGGGTAGAACATAAACGTTACCGATTAGTCGAGAGCTTCCCGCCTCCACGTCACGCTGGTAGTGGGGGTAAGCGCTCGGCCAATCAGGAACCTTTATGTTCTACCCGCTATTCTTCTTCCTTCGTTAATCCAAATACACTATAGGGGGGCGCTCTTCTGAATCAGTCAGCAGCCCTCCTAACCGGGCGCCTCCGGACCCG